TATATATATATATATATATATATATATATATATACATACATACATAGATCCCAATAAGTTACATGACACAACGCATATATATATATATATATATATATATATATATATATATATATATATATTTAAATTTATCCCAGCTCTACTTCGCGTATTGATCACTCTACGTTTTAGCTTTATTACTCGCTTGGTTTTTGTCTTTGGACTAAAAACTTAAGACACTGGACGATTTATTTCGCCCTGTTCGGATGTTTCTAGTTCTTTCTTTCTTTTTCCTCAGGTACCAATTTGTTTTGATAGACTTACAAGTTGTGCTATCCGAGCTTTTTTTCAAACTTAGTATTACTGTTAGTATAATAATAATAATAATAATAATATATATATATATATATATATATATATATATATATATATATATATATATATATATATATATATGTGTGTGTGTGTGTGTGTGTGTGTGTGTATTTCTGCTTTGAACATATGCTATTTTGTTAGCAACGTCCAAAGTATCTAAAGGCCGGATTCTTTGGTGCATTCAAGAAGGCTTAGTTCCAATGTACTGTAGTTAGTTGGTGTTAGTATATATGAAAACGTATCGACACGATGGATATGCGTATATTGTGATATTTTTGCATCAGAAATTTGGCATCCATCACACAATGATGTAGTTCTGAATAGCATATTTGCAGGTAGTATCTGTCTATATTTGAGAAAAGATATTGTAACTATTGTTGTCCTCATCTTTATTGCCAAATTGCCGGCTGTTGTATGCTCCGACCTTATTTACCCCACGGGGATAGATTGTTTCAGTGGATATCTGTGTATCAGTTAATTCTCTTTAGTAACTCAAGTCTCCAAGTTTTTATTCCCTCTGCTGTCACAACACTTTGGGTCAAGTTTATTGCTTCAACCAACGCTTTTATCCATAGGCATCAATGAATGAAGTTTTGGGACTTATAAACGTAATATCTCAGTAACTGTTTTTTGGGGGCTCATATTAAAAATTCCTGTTATTGTTGTTTTTCTCTATCTCTGTGTATTACTGGTTTCTTTATTGAATTCGTGTCTTCTATGTTTGGACAGTTTAGAAGATTTTTCAAGCCTAGCATATGCGCCGATTCCTTAAGTTCTCGTATTTTCTAGTGATATTCTCTGTCTATTATTTCAACTTTATCCAACAGACGACGGCGAATATGGCAAAGATGAGAACAACAGTCCGAAAGATGTAAATAGTGTAAATAGTTACAATACCTCATCTTAGACATAGAGACAGATCCTGAATAAGGACGGAACGTACAACGGCCGAAACACCGTGAATATGACAATAAAGATGAGAACAAAAGTCCGAACAATGTAAATGGTGTAAATATTTGCAGGGAGGTATATAAAAAAGCGATAGCTAAAGTTTAAAATCCATTTAAAAAGTGAAAAATATGTCTTGAAACATTTATTTTTGTTTTAATTTCAAGCTAATAGACTAAATTTAATATTTCCAATAGACAAAATACTTTGGTGCATTACAGTCTGAATTTAAATTGATTGGAATCTTCTTTTTTTTCTCCTTATCAATAAAATCTATAAATTTATCCACATTAACAGATCTGTTAAAGAATGATTCACTTTAAAAAGAATCTTTAAAAAATACAATATTCTTTTTAAAAACTTTATTTGAGTTAGATTAGCTGCTTTAACGTTTAATTAATCTGAATTGAAACAAATATTACTCTTAGTTTAAAATATCTCAATAAAGCATTTTTTATAACATGGAGGGGTCTTTTCCGGTGTTTTGAGTTATTTACTGACAGCCTGATGTTTGGGAAATTTAAGTAAGAGGGATGCAGCTGAAAAATTACTTGACGAATGTGAACGCCTTTTTTATACAATATTTTTTAACTACCCAATAATCTTTAAAAATTATAGCATAATTTACGAAGGCACTTGCTGAGAAAGTATTAGAAAATTACCAATAAATTTTAAAGTTATTATAGGTATCTCTTATTTTCTGATAATGTCTTGTACGGAAGTTTGTATTTACAAAAACTGACACATTTATATGCACACAAAAACATTTCAGAATACTTTTTAAAATACAGGAATTCGATGAATTGCAGTGAGTTTTACAATTTGTAATTAGTAAATACAGTTTACTTGCGTACATTGAGCATCTATGCAATGATGATTCTTAAATATTACTTTGTCCAATATGTATGCAAACACGATTGTATAAATGAGTATGCATATTTTTACCATTTACTTTATATCTATATATATATATATATATATATATATATATATATATGTGTGTGTGTGTGGGGGGGTATGCAAATCTTTCGTTTTTGAGTTAAGTTTAAAGAAAGTTTACGGTAGATGGCGCTGTATTTCCATTTAGACTATGTTACATTTGTGTACATTTGTGGCTTCAACTTTAACGATTCGCTCGTTCGCCTGGCCATGAAGAACTCATTTTACAGGCTGTCGGAGACGATCCAGGTATCATCACAAGTCTAGGTATCAGCATGTCGTACATCTCATAGTACCGCATTGAGGGTACTTCAAGAGTAGCTCCTGTATCCATATTGTTTTTAATGTGTGTAAAGTCTTTTGCCCATTGATCTCTCATGACTGGAAAACCTTTGCAGATGGTTTATTGTACAAACTGGCGATGTTTATATGGACTTTTGTCCTTCTTTTTGTGTGAGGAACCCGCCTCAAACTTGGTAAAAGTATATTTGATACAACCTGTATATATATATATATATATATATATATATATATATACATACGAATATGAAAAAGTAAATGTAAATGCACAGCATCATTTTACTTTCGACTTTTTGTTAATGTGCACATATATGCGTGTGCTTACGTTAATACTTGTTTGTGTCGGTTGTGCAAAGGTGATTAGCTGAGTAAGGAAAATAATCGTTGATGAGAAGGTCAAAATAACAGCGAGTTAACATGGTTCTTCTTTAGAATTTTCTTTTCGTCTGATATTTAAGAACCAATCACAAAACAATCATTTTTTTCCGCTGTGGGTAATCAAAAATCCAGTCACTGAAATTTGTGCGTCTTTTTGAGTTTTTCCCACATTTTTATTGCTTGTTTTTGTTTTTCGACATTTATTCTGTCATTGTTTATTTTATTAAACATTTTTTTTAGGAACAACTAAAAAAAAATAATCATCGTGTTTTTCTCTTGACGCCACTATTACTGAACCCACCCACGGTAATTTTTATTGGTTGGTTGATATTCTTTAGTAGCATATCAAACGGTATGTGTTATTTAATACCGAAATTTTGTTCGTAATTTTATACTTTTAGAATAAAGGTATGTTATTTTTATAGATATATTTTGTAGATCATAAAATGTATTGTTGGTAATACAAATGCTGATTTTATAAAAATGTACCGTTGATTTTTGTTTGGGAATTCAGAATTTGCCAATAGCTGAGATCCTAACAGGGTTGGACCTAGAAACAACAGTAATTAAGATGTGTTCCCACCCTCCTCAAAACCCCCAATCTCCCGATCAGAGGCTTTTCTGGCGAAATTAGTTTATCGTCATAACCAGGACAAGTAATATTTTCTTGTTTTAAAAAGCTATTTTCAGAATTTTAATAAAACCATAACATATGGAACTGAATTTATACATTTATACTTGAAAATTGAAGAACAAATTACAAATTGATTTATCTATAATATGTAATTAACCATAACTATATAAAAAAAAACTAAATTTTTTGTTTTTGTTATAGGCCTAGTTTTGTTTCGGACGTTTTTGAAGAAATGTTATAATTTTATTTTTTATTTAAGAAAGCTTTTATTTATACAGAAAGCTTTGTAAAGAAATCTTTTATTTAAAGACAGCTTTTTAACGAAAGCTTTTATTTAGAGAAAGCTTTTTCAAGAAAACCTTTATTTAGAGAAAGTTCCGTAAAGAAAGCTTTTACTTAAAGCTTTATAAAACAATACAATTTACCGAGGGAGTATACAGTAATATCGTCAAGAGAAAAAACATCGTTTTTTTATTTATTTTTGCTTGTTCCATTGTTGTTTTTCTTTTTAAATTTCTTATAATTTATATATATTTTTTTAAAATTTATAATTCCTTTTTATATTTTATATTTGATTCCGTCTAATGCATTTACTCACATGATCAAATACCTTTGATGTTTGAGTATGGCTTGAGTGCTCCTATGACTCGTAAAGATATACTGGCGGGATCTTGTCTCCTGATAGTTTCAACCTAGCCAGATAGGTCAATTGTTAGGAGCCATGTAAAACCTTTGTCACATCGCAGAGCAAGCCTCAATGACAAAATATCTGAAGCGGACAGTAGCTCTCCAGTTGCATGGATAAGTAAGCATCAACAGACCGATATATTGGCTTGATATGCAGTAATCAATGTTGGATGATAAGTGACACAGCAAAGATCTACAAATTGTAATTGTTCGCCAGAGTTGTGACCACTAGTACTGAACCGTACTTAGAATGTATGAAAGCAACTGAAAAATATAACAACATCGTAACAAGTAAATCCAATTCTTCATAAAACATCGCCCACTTCGTGGCTCTAGACACAGTGGAAGGAAAAAAATTAGTTTATGGTGTTCAAGTTACCATAAAGAATTATATATTTAAGACGTGTAAGTGTATATTGTCATTATTTTTCATTTTGCCTTTGATATTCCCTTTATGTCGTAAAATTTTTTATTCTTACCTGGCTCCAACTTTCAGCATTAGAATTAAAACTTAACTGTGTTTTGGCCAAATGCGATTTATAGTGAATATTCGTTATTTTATTTTGTGTGTTTTCCTCACAAATCCAATCGCGACGCACACAGTTCACTAGGCATAAGTCTTTGAAAAGAAAATTTTTTCAATGAAAATCGACCTTATTGCTTCTTACTAGAAAGAAACTTTGAATTTTGTCTCTTGACTTTTACCATGGTTATCGTTGGAAAATTGAATTTTTGTCCGCTATTGAATGTATACAAGGTTTACGGCCGCATCACGTTGAAACACCGGTTCCCGTACGATCACCGAAGTTAAGCAACGTCGAGCCTGATCAATAGTTAGGTAGGTGACCGCTTTGGAATAGCAGGTGCTGTAATTTTGGATGTGTGAGTGATGTAAGCGATAACGTTTCGGAATTGTTAATCGGAAATTCAATTCCTGTTAGGTTTCTTTTCTTCACTTACACGTAAATACATTTAGGAAAGGCATTCATCCACCTCTTCTTTCCCTGCTATGGGTTGATTAGTAAGACTTGTATCACTAAACCATTATTATCGCCCCCCCCCAAAAGTTGATAAGCCATAGAAAAAGAATCAATCAAGTATATATTCAGATATTAGCAGTCAAGACCACCCCAACCATTTCCCTCTTTTTTCTCCGCTTCTGTTTCATTCACTTTCTATCCTTATTACTTTCTTCCAGCAAACAGCAAATTATCCATGTTGTTATTTATGGCACTTCGCTGCTACCGTAATTTGAAAACAGATCACAGTAAAGTTGTTTTCCTACAGATTTTAGGAACTGCACGACCGAAAGATTATACTCAATGACACTACACCCACACATCAACTGCATTTATAATTATTCGCCAAACACACACACACACACACACACACACACACACACACACACGTACGTGTGTGTATGTATGTATGTATGTGTGTGTGTGTGTGAAGTGACATTTTTGCCTCTTCGATTAGAAACAGCACTTCAGTCATTAAATAGTTTGGTAGAATTCTCTGAGAGAATTCACTAAAATTTGATTACGCATGTAATGTTTCTAATGACAATTCTTCTGCTCATATGTTAACCATGAATCAAATAGGCCCCTCACACAAAAAAAACACAAAAAAACAAGACGTATAATTAAACAAACTAGCAAGACGTATGCAATTTTCACGACGTACTTTTTACAGTTTTGTGAGTAATCAGAAAGTAATTAAAATATGCAGGAGAAAAGAAATAGAATTTACAACTTAAAATAATCGCTCATCCAATTGATGAATTTGACGTAATTTCGGGTAAATAAAACACATCAGGCTGGGAGGGTTATCTGTCTAAGAGATGGAAAACTCTGAATTTAAACCTCCGCTGCCTTGCGTGCATACACAATCATGGGAAAGACTTTGGGTGTAAACCCTGAGGACAAATCCGGAGCCGGAGTCCATAACTATATATATATATATATATATATATACACCAATATATGTCACCAATTTTATATTTTTAATTTCGTGCATCCACATTGTTTTTGATTTTGTCGACTGAACAATATAGAGCACCATCTGTGAGAAAAAAAGGACGCCACAATGCAATTTATTCTGCCAGAAATTTGGAAATGGCATGCTGTACTGCTTGTTGTTCACACTGGAAGCTCCAATATGAACATTTCAAGGATTTTGTGTGACATTGCAGAAAATTCAGAAAGAGTTGGATGAGTCTAATGGTGATTACGAAGGTGTTTGGAGTGCTCACTAATGATGGCAACGTTGTGCCTGCATTCATCATCTCACTGGGACTGAGAATCAACACGGAGGCCTACATCAAGTGCCTTGAGAAGGTTGTGCTACCCTGGGTCAAGAAGGTGTCTACTGGAGGACCCTATGTCTGACAACAGGACTCTGCACCATTCCACTGAACCCCGTCATGGCTGTCAGACAATTTCTGCGACGACATCACCCTTTACATCTGGCCACCTAACTCCCCAAACTGCAACTCTTTTGATTATTATGTGTGGGTCTCAGTTGAGCGGGAGATCAACAAAACTCTTTGTAACACCAAAGATGAACTGAAGGCAAGGATTATGGCAGCATTCATCAACTTAAACAAGGAGGCCGTCCAGAAGAGTTGAAAAAGATTCCGAAGTAGTATGGGCACTGTGATTGAAACCAATGATGATTTTATTGAATAAATTTACACTTAAGTATTTCAAGATATTTTTGTGTCATTTTGGTAAATATATCTGTTAAAATGAGATGTTAGTGTTATTTTCATTTTTGCGTAATTTAGATGACAATTTATACATCTCACCCTGTATATGTAAGCATACACATACACACACGCACACATATATATATTTCCACATTGCACTGACATAAATCATATAGACAAAACACAAGGTGGCTTAATATGGATTAATGTCATAATAATATGTCATACGTGAAAATCGAATTCATAACAGTCGTGAACTTGTTCATATATATATATATATATATATATATATATATATATATATATATATATATATATATATATATATATATTTAAATTTATCAGCTCTACTTAGCGTATTGAGCACTCTACGTTTTAGCTTTATTACTCGCTTGGTTTTTGTCTTTGGACTAAAAACTTAAGACACTGGATGATTTATTTCGCCCTGTTCGGATGTTTCTAGTTCTTTCTTTCTTTTTCCTCGGGTACCAATTTGTTTTGATAGACTTACAAGTTGTGCTATCCGAGCTTTTTTCAAACTTAGTATTACTATTAGTATAATAATAATAATAATAATATATATATATATATGTGTGTGTGTCTGTGTGTGTGTTATAAATTATCTATTGATCAGAGTTAAATAAGACCATGGAACATTTGTATTAAAAATGCGCTATATACGTATAAAGAAAATAAAAAATAAAAATTTAATGAGCAGAGCTATTAAATTAAAAAAAAAAAATAGGAGATAAGCCAATCACGCTGCCATGGTTTCAAGCTTTAGGTATCCTCAGGTGATATAGGCCAAACACACACACACACACACACACACACACACACACACACACACACACACACACATATGATATATATAAATTATATGATATATTTAAATTTAAATTCAATTTAAATTAATTTAAAACAATGCTCAGAGACAGACACTTAGGAGCTGATGATAACCGGCTTGAAATACACTTTCTTCTATACTGAGATAATTTTTGTTTTTTTTTTTGCTGTAAAAAATACATATGTTCTGTTATAATAAATACATCGAGCTCTCAATGGATCAGTTTTAATAACTAATATTACTAAGAGACGCCCGGATTATATACCAACGGATTGATTACCTGTACTATATATATATATATATGGTAGCTGATCTGCTATTTTTTTTTTAATATATATGAACAATATATATATATATATATATATATATATATATATATATATATATATATATATAAATATATATATACTGTTTAAGTATACCTACATAAATATATATATATGCTTAGTGTTACTGAATTGGCCCTATGTAAGTATATTGACATTAATGACTTGTGTCTCTTCACTCACCGCCATTAACAGGGAAAATCACGTGATCAACTTAAATGGCGGCGCCATTTTATGTGGCAATTTTCGAATGCATACACCTTCACACGTGTTTCTTAACCAGTGTATAGCTGGGAAGATATTTCTCTAGGTGCGTTAATTTGCCACTGATTTTACGATATTTGCCCTTTTTTTTTCGGTTTAAGAAATTTTGAAATTGATATTTTAGGTTAATTTAACATTAGTATCTATTTACACAAACTTCCCTACGTATATAGGTTATACTTATATAGACATCTGATTGTATACGTGCCTACTGGAATATACGCACATGTGTATGCATATTTGCATACATACACATATGTATAAATATGCATGTGTTTATATCCAAATATTTACCAGGCATACGCACTTTTGAGAATGTAAATTAATGAAGACAAATGTATACTTCAAGCACACATCGTCATAGATACACAGCCTGGGTATTTATTAAATAAGACAAAATATTAGATTTTTGCATGTAGGCAATTTGGAATCAGGTGAAAGCCATCTTAAGATCGGTTAATTATTGAATACTATTAGAACTATCATCATGGCTTTTAGTCACATCACGTTGAAACACCAGTTCTTGTATGATGTCCGAAATTAAGCAACGTCGTGCCTGGTCAGTCCTCAGATGGGTGATCGCTTGGGAATACCAAATGTTCTAAGCTTGGATGTGCAGATGGTATAATGTCTAATGGCTCAGAATTGTTAATCGGAGAGCCGAGTTCCAATTCCAGTTGGGTTCGTTATTTTCACTTACGCGCAAATATCCTTGGGAAAGGAGTTAATCAACATCTTCATTCGCAGCTATGGGTTAATTAGTAATACTTTTAATCGCTAAACTATTATTATTATCGCCAAATAAAAAAATCTTACAATCTAAAATTTTTTCTGGCTTTAAATAACCTGCAAAGGGTTGGTAAAAACGAATCGATCAATCAAAAACAGTAAACAATCATGGCTCTACGCAGACTCCCTTTTCTTTTCTTATCTGTAAATTGCCATTTCTTGGGAGAGATAGTGAATTGTTTTCCAATTGTTTTCTTTTCGGTTATGAATTCAGAGTAGTTTAGACACGTTGTCGTACAAGGCCAAAGAGTTCCGTCAACCTTGCTATTTAACTCATAGATGGGGACTGAACAAGAAATGTATTAATTCTTTTTCTAACGGGGTTATTGTGAAACCGAACACAACCGACTAAGCTGGAAATAGAACTAGGTTCGCTGATTCTATTTACCATCCCGATAACCGTTACTCTACACACACACAAACACAAATGTACGGAGAAATACATTTATCAATGAACACACAGCTGTTTACTTTACATCGTGTTTCACTGTCAAATATTTTATTACAGGTAACGATTGGTCTGATGTGGATTGACTGACTGATTTGTTTTTTCGGCTTATCAATCTTTTGTAGGCTATTTAACATTACACCACCCGCACATCCAAGCTTACAGCATTTGGTTTTCCCAAGAAGTCACTCGTCTAGATATTGACCAGGCTCGACGTTGCTTAATTTCGGTGATCGTATAGGAAATGGTCTTTCAATGTGAAGTGGTCGTATGCCATCTGATGTGAAAGAAGAAGAATCAATGTAATATCTTTATGATTATTGACCAGCCAACATCAATTCAATGGAGAGTGAATGTCATTTATATTTCTACATCGATCAGAAACAAATTCAACGAAATAATAACGTTTTCTCGGAAAGAGACTGAACAAATTGCTAAGCGCACGAAAAGTCTTCTCTTAGTTTTATTCTTACTGACAGCCATTAAGTAGATGTACTTGGAAAAGAGATAAAGCGATCTAAAATCGTGATACCCAAACAAAAAAAATTTGGCTAATAAATACCACCTTTGTCTTTATATAAAATAATGAGTTTAGCTGTAATGTGAAAATGCGTCCGTTGTCTGATCAAAATTCCGGTTGCATGAAAAATTTGGTATTTGCCGGTATTCCAGTCTTAGTGAATGAATATTTTTTGCCAGACTTGCAATCTTTCAGTACCAACTCGATTGTTGAAATAGCGCATATAAATTTATCATATAACTGAGCTAAGTGAATATACAATGGACAGGTGCAAATAGAAAGAAATAATAGTTATAGAACAATTTGCATCTTAGTACAAGACTTAAAATATATAGATGAATAGCAACACAGTATTGTACAAAGTTATTACAGACATAATGAGAAAAAACCCAAGGATATTTTTCATTTTTGGGTGAAATACATTGTAAATGAAAAAGTGTATTTTGAGAAAAAAAAATGATGTAGAAAGAATATATACGATCCGCTGCGTTTAGTCGTCAAAAGGTCTCCAAATATAGATTAGGAGATTAATAGCATATGGAAAATAAGCATTTTAATATATTAAATATTTAATATTATTGTTCGATTTCGACCAATGTGATTCTACTTAGATTTGTTTTCAAGTGGCTTTTAGTCAAAGATTTGAAAAATAATAACTGTTAAAGGAAAATAAAATTCTAGGAGAGTTAAAAGAGTGGGAACGACAAAATTATGGTGATGGAACAGTATGAAGCGAATGAGGTGCCATAAAATTTGCAAGTGATAGAACAGTATCAAGCAAATCAGATGTCGTATGATTTGCAAGTGACTAAACATATGAAGCAAATAAGGTGTCGTGAAATTTGCAAATGATAGAACAGTATCAAGCAAATGAGATGTCGTGTGATTTGCAAGTGACGGAGCAGTATCAAACAAATAAAGTGCCGTGAAATTTTTAAGTGACACAACAATATCAAGCAAATGATATGTCGTGTGATTTGCAAGTGACGGAGAAGTATCAAACAAATAAAGTGCCGTGAAATTTGTAAGTGACACAACAATATCAAGCAAATGATATGTCGTGTGATTTGCAAGTGACGGAGAAGTATCAAACAAATAACGTGCCGTGAAATTTGCAAGTGATACAACTATATCAAGCAAATGAGATGTCGTGTGATTTGCAAGTGACGGAGCAGTATCAAACAAAAATAAGGTGCCTATATCAAGCAAATGAGATGCAAGTGACAAGAACAGTATCAAATAAAGTGCCGTGAAATGAGATGTCAAATGAGATGTGATTTGCAAGTGACGGAGCAGTATCAAACAAATAAAGTGCCGTGAAATTTGCAAGTGACAACAATAACAAATGATATCGTGTGATTTGCAAATGACGGACAGTATGAAGCAAATTTGCCAAGCCTTGACGCAACGTATGACGGAACAGTATGAAATTTGCAAACAGAACAGTATCAAGCAAAAATGAGATGTGTGATTTGCAAGTGACGGAAAATATGAAGCAAATAAGGTGCCGTGAAATTTAGAACAGAACAGTATCAAGCAAATGAGATGTCGTGTGATTTGCAAGTGACAGAAAAGTATGAAGCAAATAAAAGTGCCGAAATTTGAAGTGACAGAACAGTATCAAGCAAATGAGATGTCGTGTGATTTGCAAGTGACGGAAGTATCAAACAAATAAGGTGCCGTGAAATTTTAAGTGACAGAACAGAATCAATCAAAATGAGATGTCGTGTGATTTGCAAGTGACGGAACAGTATCAAACAAAAAAGTGCCGTGAAATTTGTAAGTGACAGAACAGTATCAAGCAAATGAGATGTCGTGTGATTTGCAAGTGACGGAGCAGTATCAAACAAATAAAGTGCCGGGAAATATGTAAGTGACAGAACAGTATCAAGCAAATGAGATGTCGTGTGATTTGCAAGTGACGGAGCAGTATCAAACAAATAAAGTGCCGTGAAATTTGTTGTAAGGACAGAACAGTATCAAGCAAATGAGATGTCGTGTGATTTGTAAGTGACGGAAACAGTATGAACAAATGAAATGCCGTGCCGTGAAATTTGCAAGTGACAGAACAGTATCAAGCAAATGAGAATTTGCAAGTGACGGACAGTATCAAACAAATATAAGTGACAGAACTATATCAAGCAAATGAGATGTCGTGTGATTTGCAAATGACGGAACAGTATCAAACAAATAAAGTGCCGTGAAATTTGCAAGTGACAGAACAATATCAAGCAAATGAGATGTCGTGTGATTTGATTTGTATCAAACAAATAAAGTGCCGTGAAAGTGACGGCAAATGAAGTGATTTGCAAGTGACGGAGCAATCAAACAAAAAGTGCCGTGAAATTTTTAAGTGACACAACAATATCAAGCAAATGATATGTGTGATTTGCAAGTGATTATCAAACAAATAAAGTGCCGGAAAGAAGTAGAACTATAAAGCAAATGAGATGCGTGATTTGCAAGTGACGGAACAGTATGAAGCAAATAAGGTGCCGTAAAATTTCAAGTGACAGAACAATCATGCAAAGATGTCATGTGATTTGCAAGGACGGAACAGTATGAAACAAATAAGGTGCCGTGAAATTTGCAAGTGACAGAACAGTATCAAGCAAATGAGATGTCGTGTGATTTGCAAGTGATGGATCAGTAAAGTATGAAGCAAATAAGGTGTATGAAATTTGCAAGTGACAGAACAATATCAAGCAAATGAGATGTGAGATGTGATATGCAAGTGACGGAGAAGTATCAAACAAATGAAATGAAATTTGTAAGTGATAGAACTATATCAAGCAAATGAGATGTCGTGTGATTTGCAAGTGACGGAGCAGTATCAAACAAATAAAGTGCCGTGAAATTTGTAAGAACACAACAATATCAAGCAAATGATATGTCGTGTGATTTGCAAGTGACGGAGAAGTATCAAACAAATAAAGTGCCGTGAATTTTGTAAGTGACACAACAATATCAAACAAATGATATGTCGTGTGATTTTGCAAGTGACGGAGAAGAATCAACAAATAAAGTGCCGTGAAATTTGCAAGTGATAGAACTATATCAAGCAAATGATATAGTGTGATTTCACGGAAAATGAAGCAAATAAGGTGTGATTTGCAAGTGACGGAACAGTATCAAGCAAATAAGGTGCCGTGAAATTTGCAAGTGACAGAACAGTATCAAGCAAATGAGATGTCGTGTGATTTGCAAGTGACGGAACAGTATGAAGCAAATAAGGTGCCGTGAAATTTGCAAGTGACAGAACAGTATCAAGCAAATGAGATGTCATGTGATTTGCAAGTGACGGAAAAGTATGAAGCAAATAAAGTGCCGGGAAATTTGCAAGTGACACAACAGTATCAAGCAAATGAGATGTCGTGTGATTTGCAAGTGACAGAACAGTATGAAGCAAATAAGGTGCCGTGAAATTTGCAAGTAACAGAACAGTATCAAGCAAATGAGATGTCGTGTGATTTGCAAGTGATGGGACAGTATGAAGCAAATAAGGTGCCGTGAAATTTGCAAGTGACAGAACAGTATCAAGCAAATGAGATGTCGTGTGATATGCAAGTGACGGAGAAGTATCAAACAAATGAAGTGCCGTGAAATTTGTAAGTGATAGAACCATATCAAGCAAATGAGATGTCGTGTGATTTGCAAGTGACGGAGCAGTATCAAACAAATAAAGTGCCGTGAAATTTGTAAGTGACACAACAATATCAAGCAAATGATATGTCGTGTGATTTGCAAGTGACGGAGAAGTATCAAACAAATAAAGTGCCGTGAAATTTGTAAGTGACACAATAATATCAAGCAAATGATATGTCGTGTGATTTGCAAGTGACGG